AATAGTTAAATTTTGTAAGTTTAAATTTTTTTGGATTTTTTATATTTTTATGAAAATAATTATAAATTGACCCCCAAATTGATAAAGATTTATAAAAACACCAATTTGTAGTTTTAACATATTTACATATAGTTGGTGTATGTCACTATGTATTATATAATAGTTTGTCTAGTTTAGAACACATTTCTATAATTGGGATAATTTGCAACATATTAGCCAATACTTGCTATAGTTAAGAATGATTTTTCCTTTTAAAAATGATTAAATAAATATCTCAAAATTTCAATGTATTATTAATGATTTGTAGGGTCTAGTTTCTCATTTTTTCCACGATTCAGACTCCGACAATCATCAATGATATACACGAGATCATCGTAACATAATAAAGACCTGGAATTTGAAAACTAAACCGTACTACTCGTAGAACTTCGAAAGATTGACATATTTTAGTTATTCGTAAAATCTAGCAATCGCAGTAATAATATGCATTTCTAAGGATCAACTCTATAAGTCTGATTGGTAAATAGCACAATAGTTTGTTACGCATTTGTGCAGATCTAGCTAGTAAATCCGTCTTTTCATTCCTATCACATGGATGATGTTCGAAGACAAAGTCCGAGAATACGTGTAAGAGATTTTCAAACTCACGTAGTTCCGGTTGGAAGGCTGGCCAATCGTTTGGGTTCTCGATTAGTTGGATAAGCACCTTTGAATATGTTATGAAACAAGGTATTGTCTCTTCATGTAATCCAGAACCCAACCCACACAAGAAGTTCGCTCCTCTTCTTTCCACAACCCATTCCCAAAACATGTAAAGGTTGTGTTACTCGTCATGGAGCTATTATATGTGACCGTCTGCGTCTATATCATCTTTTCTGCCTCATTACCTTCCTGCAACCATTTTGTCGACTCATGTTATGCCAAATCTACAGTGTCAATAGGTGATCGATCCGTGCTATTGAAAAAATTATCATTGCACCCGTTTCAGACAAAATCCAAGGATATAAAAATCCAAGGATGCACCTCGATCTATTTGTGAAAAAAAATAATCAAAATTCCACCAGATGTTGTCGGATATGAAACTATCCGAGGTTATTGTCACATTCAGTAGTGTCACAAAATACCCGGAGCATGACTTAACCACTATAAATGAGAAGATGACGATGTGACTAGACAAGAGTACGTACAAGAGCAGATTTTCGCCTACAAATATCAAAGGAATAAGAAAGAGGAAAGGGGGAAAAGGGAGGGGTGTAAAAGGAGGACGTTGATCGAGAAGATCATAAAAAGAGAGACACACACAGTTGTGGACTAGAGGAAAGGAGATCCTCCAATGACATCTTCAAGTCAGTAAGTCTCTTAGCAGGATACCTCTAGTCCACTCTCCTAAACACTATCTTGCCCTCCCGAAAATATTTTAAAAATCTTTGTAAAAATGTCACTTTTTCAAAATTATTTACTCATTATATGATTTATGTTTGAGTTAACTATGTTGTATTAGGGTTTTGTTTTGAGGTTTTAGGGGGTTTTTAAGGGTCAAAACATTTGTTAGAGTGAAAAATTTTAAGATTTAGGATTTAAAAATCCATAATTAGTGGCATTTTTGCTAATGGACAATTCATAGTGGTATTTTTAAAAATGTACACACTAAAAGTGGTAGTTTTGCAATTATCC